GATCGTTTATGTTTGGTTTGGCATCTGTACAAAACTTGAACTGTTGAAGAACGGTAACTTTCTGGACTCGAAAATAGAAAGGTATCTACTAAATCTGTAATATGACAAGCAACGTTTTGTGGATAAATTCTGATTTGTAAATGTCATTAGTTCCAAAGACCGGCATACTGTTTCCTGACTGATGATAAGTTGTACCGTTGGTCCAGTTATCCCAAAAAAGTTGCCGTGAAATGAATTGCCATTTTTGTCACGAAATTGAATATGAAACCGGAGTCACCGTCCCAAAAATTCGCTTCCAGCAGATTAATAAGGTAACTGTCCGCCGTAATACGTAATTAGTTCACTTTAAATAAAGCGTATAACTTTAAAAATAGATAAATTTTAGTAATAAACAAAGGCGAGAATCATTCCTCGCCAAAATTATTTCTTTGTGATAGATCTAATGTAATCATTGGTTAATTAGCATCACGTGATTTTGGGGGGGGGGGCCTCCGTGGCCGAGTGGTTAAAGTCGCTGACTTGAGATCACAGGTCCCTCACCACTGTAGGTTCGATCCTAACTCGGGTCGAAATCTTTCATGTTAGGAAGCCATCCAGCTGGCTTACGGTCGGTGGTTCTACCCAGGTGCCCGCTCGTGCCTGAAATAATGCCCGGAGGGGCACCTGGGGTTCTGCCTCCACCAATAAAGCTGGAAAACAATCGACGAAAAATCTCGGCGGGACGCTCTAAGATGACCCGACTAGAGTGCACGGTCGCCCATATGGGCTTTCCGGCGGCGACCTTAAATAAACGCATCAAAAAAAAAAAAAAAAAAAAAAAAAAAAGTTCAATACTTAATTTATAGCACTCGTTGAATAAATAATATTATGCTCGCCAGAGGCTTGCATAATATAATTTTATTCAACTCTTATTTCACTTTAAACGGTCTTTATTTTGGGTATGTGATAAATAGAATATTAAATTCGTGTGAGTTCATTAATGAAGTTGAATAAAATTATATTATGCAAGCCTCTGGCGAGCATAATATTATTTTATTCAACGAGTGCAATAAATTCATTAATGAACTTACACGAATTTAATATTCTATTTATCACATACCTAAAATAAAGACCGTTTAAAGTGAAATAAGAGTCATTTTTATTGACGCGTCTATAGTATAACGCCAACATTTAGCGCGTGTTTACACTATGTTTGTATAACGCAAATGACGTCACGTCAAAATATATGCACGGTCGTGCAATACCATTTTTACGGAGTCGCGAAATCGGCACGGGTGTGTGATGATATTATTTAGTAAATTCAAGTGATTTTGACCCGTACTCGTCTGACAAACATGTATTAGTCTGTGTTAACGTACCGAATCGTTGTGCCGCAATTCTGTCTACCAAGGATTTTTAGCACGAATTCGCTCGTTTCCTGATATATATTTCATGAACGGGAAGGGGTACGTAAAGACTTGGGGTCGGTCTCATTTGGAAGATTAAAACAAACGTGAAATAGTGATAGAAGTGTTTTTTTTAAATTGTCTGACCAAATGTTTTCATAACGGCCCGGGAAATGAATCGCTTGCTCGTTCGAATCTGGAGTTTCCGGTATAGTATATTTTTAAAGGTGGTCATTATTTACATTTATTTTTTGGTTTTTGACACTTTTAAGATGAACACATGTTTTATTATCAATCTGGTCATATTTTTTCTTCCCAGGTCCGATACTCGTGCCTGTGTTCAAACCCTTTATCATAAGTTTGAAAATGCCGCGCAGATAAACGATAGGATGTTTAAAATCGAAAGTATGAAACCCGATTTTTTAAAATTTTTTTTAATTTGAATGTTTGGAAGCGTATGCTTTCTGAATTTTACACAAGTAAAAGATTCGTTGATTCTTTGTTTAAATATCTTTCGAAAAAAATATATGTAACTATGTATGAGCTAATATCAAATTTCGCCCGAATTAGGGTTCTGATTTTATTCAAATATGAATACCTTATTTAGCTGCAAAGTTTTATCTCATCTAGTAAGCATATAAATTTGAAAGCTAGTTTTACAAAGTGCAACATAAACTCGTCTATTTTATATCGTTTATGATTGTCAGAAGGTCAATATTGACCATTGTTTGTCTTTGCAGTAACGATAACGTTTTTTACATTTTTAATAACATAATAAGATCTAAACAACAAAGCAAAACAAACAACACAACTTTATATAAATTTCAGTTTAAGTCTTAAATGTTTTTTTTTATAGATGTATATATTTTCTGTACAAAAGACCTTTTTTCGTCTTCAACCGTAAACAAAACAGGAAATTGAGTAAAACAATGTCAGTTTGTTTCGCGCGCACGTAAGAAATTCATTTTTTCTTGTTCTGTTTTTATGAACAGAGTAAGTTTTATCAATTTGAATGCAAAAATAAACTTTTACCATGTTGCTATATTGCAGAACTAGAAATCAATCTGTGTAACACCAAGGACATGCTTGTTACTGCAAGGACTAATGAATGTTACTTGAAGTACTTATAACTGTAAATTTACGTTTATTTTTTATCATTGAACTTACAATTAAATGTTAATAACATAAAAAAATGAAGATAAGCTTTGAATTATTCTTAAATAGATCTTAAATTTGAATAACAAAACTAAGGGAAGAACTCTTTTAAAGTTACAGGACGGACATATTTGTTATTGAAGTGACAAAAAATAAAGAAATGATATGGTGTTATCATTTATTTACAAACAATAATCATTTGAATTTAAGCACCATTACTACTACTATTTGTATAAAATATAAACATTTCACAATTGCACAGACATGAAATTAAAGCGGGGAAAAGTTACAAGTCTTTAAGATAACCAGCAATGTTGTTAGTTCGCATAATTCAGTCTAAACCCGTCCCAGTCAATTTTATAAACAAGTTCAAAGAGAATACCATCAGAAGTTTTGAAGATTGATATTAAATGCTATTTTTTAATCAGGAGTTTTCTAAGTTAAATAATTAAAATTAAATGCAAAAGTTCTTGGCCTTTTAGAATGAATAATTTTATTCCTGAATGACTGTAATAAATTTCCAGAGATTCTTTCTTGTGACAAAGCCATTCATTTACCTTACAAATTGTCAGTGACCCTTCTGTGCCTAAAATAACCTGGGGTCTTTTTCAACCATTCAAGCTTGAAATTAATTAGCCAATTGACCTTAAGAGTTTTGGTGCAACATTTTAAGCAAACAAAACAAAATAGAAACTTACAGTGTTCGCAAATTATGATAATGTCATGAATTTTACGAGAGGCCAAAATAGGACTTGGAAAGTAAACAAACAGTCATGTTCGGACTACTTAATGACTAATTTTAGTAGTTTTGAAGACAACAATTTTCTTTTGTAAAAATGCCTTAAAGGCTTGCTTGTGAATGATATAAGTTAGGTTTGATTTCTATTTCGCAAAGTAAACTGTAATTCTATGCAAAAAATAAGTCTCTGTAGAGATAAGTACAAATAACTTTCCTTCTATATACTAGTACTGCCTTATTACTTTTATTTCTAAAATCGCTACAGTTATTTTGTGAAATGACATGCATTTCAATTACCACAATATGTATATTGTCCTTACAGTAACTTAATGTTGAGGATTCTAAAGGGTGCAAGATTATTCAGATTTTCCTCAATTTTAACAAAAGCAATGTACTGTAAAAGCAAAAAATAACCCAATTGAATATATATGAAACAAAAAAGAAACTTTCTCCAAGTTTGACAGTACATTGAATTAAAAAGTCCTTTCAATAACACAGGTTGTCCTTCGAATAACAAAATAACATAAAGCAGAAATTTTAAATGGCATAAATGTCTAATTATAGAATAAATATATTAATAATAAATAGATTATGCCAACAAGAAAATGTATATCGTATCTGTATCCATAATTATATGTTAAAGAAGAATTGTGTTGTATTTTGTACTTTCAGTAACAGATTTTGTACTTGCAGTAATATTATTCTAAGGACAGTTACTGCAAGGACTTATTCAGGTTATTTTACAGCCTGTTTACACAGATGAGATAAGGGAGACAATTTTGATCATTTAATTCATGACTGAAACATATTTGCTAATAGCAGCTAGCAATACAAAAGGGAATCTTTCTCATAAGTTAAATAATTAGAATCTCGTTACTTAAAGGACACTGTTCGAAATCATGGTTCTAACCTTTAATCAATGTCTTCCAATTTTCTAAATCCTATTTAAAATTTCCATATGTTTCGTTGCTGTAGCCATGTATTACACCTATCACCTTCTTTTGAAGAGCACACTGCAACAATTTACTTAAACTAAAATAATCTATTTAGTACTGTTACTTGAAGGACATTTTTGTTAAAAAAGTTGGGGAAAAAATTATAACTTGCATTTTGCAAATTGAAATACTTAACTTGAGGCTTTTACTGTATAAATATATTATATAAAAGGTTATATTTTGCGTTAGTTAACAAAAATATGTATTTTAGTAATACAAATTTACATGATAAACAGCTGAAATTGGGATTTTGACTTTAGGACGAGGGAAAATCAGTTTTAATTTAGGATTATGACACTACCAGAAAAAAAAATATGTTTAATATCTTATCCTGTCAATGTCTTAGTTTACAATATTTTATGTACTTACAAGCATGCACATTTATTTTTTATAAAATGATCATGCATTTTTGTGAAAAATTGAAAAGGACAAGATTACAGGCGAAATCTGATATTGGCTCGTATAACAGAAACGAGGTTGTTAAATTCCGCCATGTTTGTTTTGTAAGTTTTAATATTTCAGAAGTCAGAAATAATGTGTTAAACGGAAAATAGTTTAAATCATCTCGATATTCAAACAGTATATAACACAAGTGTTTATACAGATACACGTATATACTTAAAACTGATTTATAAATTAGATTAGTAACTATGTCTTCAACAGGTACCGAACACTACAGTAGAATTATGCTGACATTAATGAAAGGTGGAACAAAAACTAACAAGAAGACTTGTGGAGAAAAGAGTTAAAGATCTAAGCAAAAATGGTGGAGAAGATACTATCGATGAATTTTTGCTAAAAAACAAATCTTTGATATTAGAACAAAAAATTGGGAAAGAACAAGCAGGATGTGATTTTTCCACAGTCCGGACAAACGAATCTAGATTACTGGGACCTTTGCATGTTTTGTTCAATTCTGGAAGAAACGTGTGATCTGACACATATTACGAAGATGTATATCAAGAAGCTTTTAAAGATCAGAAACAAACTTTGTCATTTAAATGACCCAACGTTAGAAACGAGAAAATTCGACGAGTATACTGAACACATGAAATGCTGCTTTGAACACTGTTTAAAAGAGATCAATGATGACAAGTTTACTGAGGAAATGAATGCACTTGTTCAGTCATTAGCCACTGGTCCTTTGTCAATAGATGATACGCTTAAAGCTGTTCATAAGCTTTACCATCTAGAATGGACATATAGAGAAGAATTGGAAAAAATTGGGAATGGTAAATGTATCTTCTCTCAAATATCTTTAAGCCATATTTAATATATCTTTTACAATATTGTACAAGTAATATGGTAATTATAATTGAAAATATATAACTCTGTATGTACTGAGTAAAAATAGCTCTGTGCCACTTAATTCAACATCAAATCAGTTAATACTTGAAATCTGTCTTTTAATTTAGGCCAAGACTCGACAAATGGAAAGATTGACACACTTATTGAAGAGGTTGGAAGACTTAATTCTCGTTTGTCATCTGACGCTTCTGCAGGCATTCCGGGTAATTTAAAGATTGTTTTCATATGAAATTTATACTACAAAATCAGTACCAAATAATGTTTATTGTGATAAATGTATAACTTCAGTCAATATGCTTGTTTGGATATTGTTGATATTGCTCTGCATCTTTAAGATTTAAAATTTGTTTCTATCACTTAACCCACAGCTTATCAAATAAAAAACAATAGATAAATTCCTCCGTCAAAAGAAAAACTTCACTGCCCCCCCCCCCCCCCCCCCCCGAACATATGTATGTATTTTATGTTACATTTTGAAATTTTTAAATAGTTTTTCAACAAGCAACTTAACCTGTGTATATAATAATAATAGTTTGAATAGATAATAGATTTGTTAAACTTTTGG